CCAGGCCTTCCTGTCCTTCACTGCCTCCCTGAGTTTGCTCAGTAAGATATGACGCCGGAAGATGAGGCCCTCAGGTCGGAAGGTGTCCAATATGCTACTGGGGAAGAGCGGAGGGCAATCCAAGTAGCTCCAAAAAGAGTGAAGCAGCTGGGCCAAAGCCAAAAGGACGTTCAGCTGTGGATGTATCTGGAAGCGAAAAGAAGGTCCGATGCTGTAAAGAACAATAAAGATTGAAGGCAAAAGGAGAAGAGGACGGCAGAGAATGAGATGGTTAGATAGCATCACTGAAGCAATGAGCATGAAGCAATAAGCAATGTTTCTATAGACCTGGTGAAAATGACCAAAGTAAATTAGTAAACTCAGGAATTTAACAGAAGAGAGAATTCTTTTGACTCCCAAATATAAAGTTGTTTGCAATACCTGGCCCAGCTGAGATCTAAAACTGTGCTATCTCCCTTTAGTTTCAGAAAACTGTCTTGAACAGAAGCAGAAACCACCACGTCGAAGATGTCAGCAGCCCAAAGTGCTGAATAGCCCTGAGGACAACATATATTATAACCAGTTAAATGTAAGTTCAAAGTGGCCATACAGCTGTTTTACCGGCTTTGTTTCCCATTAATAATCCTGGTATTAATACCTGTTCTAAGCCTACCAGCCCCGCCCCGCCCCAGTGCCCTCTCCCCACTCCTGCCCCGGAGTTCTTCAGCTCTCGCCTTGAACATGTGCTTATGCTCTTTATCTGTTGCTTTCATGTCAGGATGTCTGCCTTCACGGTGAATAATTGATGTGGTTTATCAAAGACGAGCAAGATGCATGCTTCATCAGGCTCGCTTGAGCCCTTTGATCAAAAAAATTATGCTGTGACTTCTGATATTATCAGCATCTGCTTGCATTCAACACAAAATCACTTTGAATTAAAAATTAACGACTTGCTGCTTTGCTTTGACTGTGTGTTGTTGGCCCTCTCCGCAGGGAACTCTAGGATATCAAGGGAGCAAAAGGAAGCCAAGAAAACTTGGGTAAATATCCATCTTCTTAGTTCTAAGCAACAGTAAACAGAAGAAATCCTTTGTGAGATTACAGGAAAGGCACAAACTTTCTAGAGCAATTTCTGAAAATCAACAGCAAGCTTCTCTCTTTTCAGTAGCTATGGGCATTTTGCTACTGATGCAAAAGGAAAGTCTGCCTCAAATGTGAGCTGTATACTCACGGGACAAACAGTCTTTCCTGGGGAAAAATCTTCTTCTCAGCAAAATGCAGGCAGTTCGGTTCACAATGAATTTGCTGAAAGTAGCCAGTGGTGGGTCTTGTCAAAGCAAAGACCTGCAAACTGTGAACCCAGACATGACAGGAGGGACAGCAGTTCAGAAATCCTCCTGATCCACAGTATAAACTAACTGGAGGGGAAAAGATAAGAAGGAAGGTCATCTGTTTCTACAAAGAGCAGTTCTTGGCTATTCTTTCTTGGCTCTTGTGCAAGGGCTGTTTTTTCATATGACATTCATTTTATTGTTATGGTGACAAGCATTATGCCACTAAGTATGTTGAGCTATATCTTTGAATGTGCTGGCTGGAAATACTGAAAAGTGTAGCCCAGAAGACCTGAGGGCTTGGGGAAGACCACTTTATAAAGAGACACTTTTTTTTGTAGGGAAAATCATGATGCAATGCCCTCTGCATTATTTCTGGCAATACCAGAACCATATTAGGCAGTAAAGCATGCTAAACACATGAATATAATTTAACCTGAGCCCTCAAAAGCTATATCAAATATAGACTGTTCCTTAAATATCCTTTAGGTTTATCTTGCGATTTCCTTTTGTAGACTGGAATCCATTGTAGATATACTGTTTATTTATGTGTTTGAACACTTTTAATAGAAATGGCCTCATTTTACTCCTATTTAGAAAACACAAGTCTTATTTTACACATCCATGCCATGTCTATCACTAATGTCATATCAAAACAGTTGGTGATATAAGTATGTGAGTATTAAACAAATGGAGGTAGAAGACACCTCCATGCACCAAAGCAAATTATCCAGTTTTCTCCTGTTCTTCCTTGACATAATCACTTCTGTATCAAATGCCAGACTGGCCAAGAAAGTCTCCTAAACTGTCAGAAAAACCTGTAAGAAACATGTGGTGCATCAAGAAAAAGGTGTCAGCAAATTTTCATTGCATGAATGGAAGTCCACTTATAGTTCTCTAGAACTTGTCCACCACATTTAAACAATCCAGAAGTTGTGATAGTTTTATGTTATCTATGTATGCACATTATGCTTTATGTCATTGTTTGGATGTTTTGTCATGGATCAGTCAAGGAGAACAACTTTATTCTAATCTTAGAATAAAGTCTTATTATGTAGTCTTATTATGCTTGAAGATGTTACTGAAAATACATCAAGAAGAGATTCTTGATAGACGATATGAACACCTACTGTATATAAGAAAAGATCTGAGGGGTAACATCATAGGACCAATCAGTTGCTTTTAAGAAGTCCATAAGCGGAACTTGGGAGCAGTAGTTCTCTTCCACATGTGTTTCCCAGCAACTGATGTTAAAGAGGCATCTTCCTTCAGGAGATAATAGATAGCCATCATAACTAGAAGCCATTGATAACTTTATCCTCCATGAACAAAGAAGTATTTGAGCTGTTTTTGTGATTTACGCTTGATAAAATGCTCTCTACTGATACAATAATCCAGAGGATCAAAATGGGATTTCCCAAGATTCTCCCACCTAAGCAAGTGGTGTGTTGAAGATTCATGTCCAGCTGAGAGTACCAACCACCTAATTAAAATCTGAAATTGCCATAAATCAAAGCCAGAGCCTTCCACTGTGCTGAGTAAGCATCTGGAATTGATGCAGAAGATTTGCTGCAGTGAGAAATACCATGCTCTCAGGTCCTCTAGGAAAGCTGGATTCTTCACCAACCTCTGTTAGATATCCACCCTGAAATAATGTTTGCTCTTCCAATAAGACCAAGGCGTTTCTCGTACCAATTAAACAAAAATACCTAGAAATATGATGTGCTATTTAAAACGCTTTATTTTTTTTTAATTTTCCTTAGTCAAATAAAAATGCTTGATTGGGAAGATGAGTATTACAAGTCATTATCAGTGGTAGACTCTATCACAGAAGACAATGCATTTCAACCCTTTCCTTCCTCCCAAGGAATGTCCTTTCAAAGCTGAACTTTTGCTACCTAACTCCTTCAGTGCAAGGCTGGTAAGGAACCCAAGATGTGTTTCTCATTTCTAGTTTATGTATGGGTATGTATATATGGGTGTGTAATGTGCACATATGTATATGTTAGAAAAAAATCGGCCAAGTAGTGGTATCTGCTACGCTGCTCAAATCAGTCTATTCCAAAGAGGGAAATCTATATCCTAAATCACCCAAACCACAGGCATAGTACCTCAGAAGACTTGACTTAATTTGTAATGCAAGGAAGATTAGTCCACCAAAGGAGACCATTAACAGCCATTTAAAATGCAACATAAGGGCGGGGCGGGGGTTGTTTTTGTTAGGTTTACATTATCGTGCAAAAGAGTATTCAGTGGTAGAACTTGGAGCTCTTATTTTTCTCAGAAGAGAAGGAAAAACTTCTCAAAAGCCTACATAGTAAAATAGTTAATAACATATGAGGAAAGCACTTATATTAGCATTCTGTAGCATCTTTTGAACTGCAGCAGCAAAACCAGAGCAAGGGCAACTACTTCATACGACCTCAGAAAATCAAATTCTGTTGTCTCTTCTTCACATAAGAGTCTGGGTACATCAGACCAAGGATCCATCTAGTCCAGCATTTTGTTTACACAGTAATCAACCAGCTAATACTTCAGAAGCTCACAGGCAGGACAGGGAGGGGCAGCGTTTTCCCGCTAGATTTTCCCAGAAACTAGCATTCATAACTAGACTGCCTCTGCTATCAGAGGACTGGATGACCATTGTGCCTGGTCACCATGGTTGATCCTCTCCATCATGGGTTTGCCCAGCTTCACAAACTCTACAGTTGAGTTATGCACTTTGTGAACAAACTCTTCCTTTCTTGCTGAATCATTATGCATCACTGAGCATAATGGGACTTCATTCTGAGGATCACACTGCTTGTCCTGTTTTATCAATTCAATCCCATTCATGTTTTCTCAGAAGTAAGCTCCATTGACTTACTTCCCAGTTAACATGTACTGGGCTACATGTTGCAGCTTTTGGAAAGCTCTTGTGCTTCAGATTTTCTGCTATTTTCTACATTATTATTTTAGATATTCTGTGAATAGTACCAGTAAAAACAGGAAATTTAAAATTGTGCAAACAATCAACATTTTTAATGTCAACATGAAGGTACAGGAAGTAGTCATTTGGAGTCTAAGTACAGTGGTACCTCTACTTACGAACGCCCCTACTTACGAAATTTTCAAGATACGATCAGCTCCGGCCCCAAAAATTTACCTCTACTTACAAACTCGCCTCGACTTACAAAATGTCAACATGAAGGTACAGGAAGTAGTCATTTGGAGTCTAAGTACAGTGGTACCTCTACTTACGAACGCCCCTACTTACGAAATTTTCAAGATACGATCAGCTCCGGCCCCAAAAATTTACCTCTACTTACAAACTCGCCTCGACTTACAAGCCATTTTCCGCCCGTTCCACGTGGTCCGCGGCCATTTTTCCGCCCATTCCACGTGGTCCACAGCCATTTTTCCGCCCGTGCCACGTGGTCCGCGGCTATTTTTCCACCCGTGCCACGTGGTCCGCAGCCATTTTCCACCCGTTCCACATGGTCCGTGGCCATTTTCCGCCCGTTCCACGTGGTCCACGGCCATTTTCCGCCCGTTCCACGTGGTCCGCGGCCATTTTCCGCCGTTCCACGTGGTCCGTGGCCATTTTCCGCCCGTTCCACATGATCCGCGGCCGTTTTTCTGCCCCTGACGCGTGGTCTGCGGCCATTTTTTCTGCCCCTGACACGTGGTCCGCGGCCATTTTTCCGCCCCTGACGCATGGTCCGCAGCCATTTTTCCGCCCGTTCCACATGGTCCGTGGCCGTTTTTCCACCCCTGACGTGTGGTCCGTGGCCATTTTTTCCGCCCTGCCGCGTGGTCAGCGGCTGTTTTTCCGCCCCTGACACGTGGTCCGCGGACGCCGGAA